TTACATATGCCGTTACAGCGGCATCGACTGTAGCAGAAATTGTCACGGGAATGATGTATACACCCCTGCTTTAATATCGCAAAAATGTTCCAATAAAGTATCCATATATAATCCCGTTATATGCATAAATTCGTACATTCATCCCAGTTCCGCTAGTGCCGTCGGCACCGCCTCCGCGTGCTGCCGCCGCTGCTCCAAAAAAAAGCACGACAACAACCGCACAACAAGGAGAAACAAAAGAATGACCACAAGCGCACGACGCATGTGAGTGGCGCGACGTCGCAGACTTGGATGGAGTGTACGACGTCACTCACGTCGACAGAGTGTACAACGCGTGTACAACAGTGTGTGCGGCGTCGATGACGTGGATATATAGTGTACGACGTGTGTACAGCAGTGTGTGCGGCGTCGATGACGTGGATAGAGTGTACGACGTGTGTACAGCAGTGTGTGCCGCGTCACTGACGTGGATGGAGTGTACGACGGCGCTGACGACACGTCGCGTCTCCGCGAGTCAAGCAATGCAGCGAATGTATGTTACCACTAGAAAAAAATGTTACTTAAATCTTTGGTCAAATCTTTGAGTGTGTCTAGGAACTGTGTGTCTCCTTGTATGGTACTGAGGATCTGTTGGGTCAATTGCTGTGTGGTTTTCTTTAAGTCTATCGTGTTGTTAGTATTTCCTGCGAGAAGCGCATGTGCGTTTTTATCCGTGAACGGTTGTTGTGGCTTTTGTGATGCTGATGGTGGTGTGGATGGTGTGCTGTTGCTTACACTACTATCCGCGTTGCGTTCTGTTTCTTGTTGCGTGGCCGCTGTCGACGGGTCCGATGGCGACGGCCCGGATGGGGTCGATGCGTTCGTGTCGGATTGGCCGCCTTCTACAGGTGTATGCAGTTCCGCCTCGTCCTCATCTTCGTCGTTGTCGTTGACATCGTCGTCCAACTGCTCCTCCTCCAACACTTTGTCCAATGTTGCGTCGTCCAACTCGCTTCCATCTGCGTTTGCCTCGTCATCCCCGTCCTGTGATGACGACGGATCGGTTTCTTCCATAAAATTTGGCTCTTCGTTTTCTAGATATTCGATTTCGGGCAACACTTCTTCGTCTTTATCGATAAAATTGGCAGGCGGCTCTTTAGACATATCGAGTAGTTCTAATGCGCCGTGCTGCGTCGTCGTCGGTTCGGAGGGTGCGGTGTCCGATGATTTCGACACGTCGTTTGTGGTAGCGGAGGGTGTTGTTGTGGACACTTTTGAGGATGCTTTTCCTATTCCCCATAAGTCGGCATCGTCCGGTACATCACCTAATTCTCCAGAGGGGGGTACCTTTCCTATACCCCATAAATCCTTCTCACTCAGATCTTCATCCCATATATCAGGTGATGTGCCACGGGAACCGGTAGCGCCACCCCCATGGCTACTGTTCTTATCTTTCTCATTGCTTGCACTTCGTGTGTCCGTACCCTTCCCATTTTGTGCACCATCTGCTCCACCATGTCCTTGTTCACCCTTATCCCTGGCACCCTCTGCTACTGCACTCCCGGTACTACCAGTACCATGATCCGTAGAATCGGGATCAGAGGAACCTGGGTTTTGGGCCCCATTAGAACCTGGACTGGATGGTTCTGAAGCAGAGGATGAGGAACTTCCACCTCCTCCCCCTCCACCACCAGCTGGTTGAGCACTACCACCTGCTGCACTCTGTTCAGTACTTCCTGCGGACGCATCGCCGGTGCTGCCGCCGCCGCTACCGCTGGACCCCGATTGATTTGGGTTCGGGTTGGGTTTGGGTGGATTGAGAGGAGGGGGGTCATCGTTTCCTCCATCGACGATGGCATCCGTCTGGCCGCCATTGCCAGGGGAATCGTTGTCTGTTGTTTGTCCTGTTTTCCCATGTTCTTCAAGTTCTGCATTTGTGGCGCCTTTCGGTGTAGTTGCTCCTTCTGATGCTACTTGTGTATCCTGTGGTAGATTATTACCTGATCCTTCAGTTCCTAAATGTGTGCCCAAAGGGAAAAAGTCATAATGTAATGAAACTGAAGTTTGAGAGATGGTTGCATGATTCAAGGGAGTGTCTGGCTCTCCTCCGTCTTCCTTCCTTCCGTCCGCCCTTGCTTTGTTTTTGTTTTTTGTTTTTTTTTTTTCCTTTTGTTCCTTTTCTTTCTCTTTTCCTATTTTTTATTTTTTTTTCCTCTTTATTCCTTTTATCCTCTCCTTTTCTCTCTTCCTCTTTTTCTCTATCTCATTTTGTTCCCTGCATCTCAATTTGTTCTCCTTCACTGTTTTCCTTTATCTCATTATTCTATTAACCCGCCTGCACCTATTCTAATCGTGCTATATATGCACTGGGTGCACTTTGTTGTCTAATACTGGGTATTGTATGCACTTTTTTGTTCTTTCCTGTATTATATTTTCATCACAATACATATACTTACCAGACTGATGTCCGCTAGGTAGGGATTCACTTTCATCCTTCTTGGGGATCCACGTGTTCTTTTCATAGTCCCATTGTCGGTCCCAATGGTCCCACTGTCCCCAGAAGTCCGGTTCGCCCTTATTCTCAGCAGTGTCGTTCGAACCCGTTGTATGATCTGCACTCGATGTACCTGCAATAACGCCACTGTGCTGTTGTTGTGCCGCTGGTGCCGTTGCCGCTGCCGGTGATGGCGCTGCCGGTGTTCCCGCTTGCATGTAGTTG